TGACGCAAGAAATGGTAGTTGTCACCATCTGGAGGTTGGTAAGAGACCCCACAGACAGCATCTTTTGAGTTTTGACAGAAAGAGAATTGGTGGATTCTTCCACACTGCATTAAAAAAATTAGTCTGAGTTTCCAGCCTTGCCAAGACCTAGGGGCTCTAGCCTTTGACTTCTTCTTTAGGGACATTCCCCTTGTAGCTTAGATGATGAATCTCACTCCATATAGAGGAAGTCATTGGTTATATACAAATTTACAAACTGTTGTACTGTTCCTGCATTGGCTAGAGAAGGGAAAGAAAAGCCACCTCTCATAGCAATGCAACAGTAAGAAAAGCTTTCTTCACCAACAAGTCAAAAAGCATGGAGCCCTGCCCTGCTCGTACATGTTTAAAATTTCGAGCCTTGAAAAGGCAAAAATTAAAGAAATTTAATATCAAACAGGAGCATCAGCAATGAAAGGGGAAGCGTATTTGGATGTACTAGCATCTTTCATACTTTTCAGATTGCAATAGTATTTACAGCTAAACTAATGTTCTTTGGTTTGTATCAATGTTCTGATATGAGTGGGTTTTGATAAGATTTTTACTTGAAAATCACTGAGTTTATAATATTATCACGATCTGTTATAAGCATAAGGCCGCTGCATCACCGGGTAAAAGAAATACTAATAAGAGAGTACAAAGCAAAGTAGTAACTACGATTCTAATACTCTATATAGCAAAGAAAAGGGGCATAAAAATCACTTCACTCAAGGAAAGAGATATGTTACTAGTAGTATTCATGATAAAGATAAACAGAAGAGTGAGAAAGGAAAAGAAAAGAACATCATTCAAAAAGAAACAACAATTCCTCTAGCTTTGACATGACCATCACCCAAGTTCCCATTTCTAGTGGAGACATCCAGAGACAAGACGAATAATTAAATAATATGCAGTAAAGAAGGACTGAAAGGCGCAAATCATTTGGAAGTCTCAAATAAAATAAAAACAACTGCTCATCACTAAGGTAGCCAAGCATGAAGCCTTTCCAGGGCCAAGGCGGAGTAAGTAAAGCAATATGGCACCTGGTATTGACCTAAGTGTTATGAAAACTAACGTGGTTACTAAGCATTTTCCAATTTATTTGATTCGGAAAGTGATCATCAACAATATGAAAGGACAGTCAGATTTCCTAGGAGCACGCGCATGCCTAATTTCTTAGCTTAATTGTGCAACACTCAATGCAGAATCTACCAGCAAGCTTTAGTTTTGCATGTTCTGTATGTTACATGTCCACACTTCACACCCAAAGAACTAACGCAAAAGAAGTTTCTTCTTCCTTTTCGATTTTTGCTTTTTGTGTTGTTAACCGAAACTTAATTTCATCATCAATGGCATGGCCTCTTTTTCTGGTGCACTACATGCGCAAAATTTTATACTACTAAAGTACCAGAAAAGCAGGTCCATTTGACAATCATATCCCATTCGTGTGCATGCTTAGTATGTCATATTCTATATAATAATTGTAGGAAACAATTTTAATTTTTGGCGGGACTTGGAATTGTCGATGTAGCCAACAAAAGCCCTTTTCTTGGACTGACAAAGGGACGACTGAGGGGTACACCTTTAGATCACTTGATTCTATTCTCACCATCCCAAAAGAAAGAAGGTCCTTTGGTCTTTTGGGGTGGTTTTTCTATTAAGCCTAGAGGCCAATCATCTCATTAGCTACAGCCTGCAATGATTTGATATTGAAGTAGCTTTTAAGAATCATTTTTCCAATATTGAGTTGGTCAAAAGTTGTGCCTGGAATCTTCTTGCTTTAGTGCCCCTTTCAATATGTATATTTAATGATTTCCTTTGTTCATCTTTTTCTCCCCATTAGTCATAGCTGTCGATCTCTCTCACTCACGTTTTTATCCTACATTTGATCAGAAATATACTAAATGCCTCCTCCCCTTGTTAGGGAGGGCAGAATTTTCCTGCAAAAGAAAAAATGTTCCATCAGGTTCGCTCTCTCTCGTCTCTCTATATATTGCCTTCTATCACTCCTGTCAAGATTCCTTTGGCTGTCAAGTTTTAAACAACTTTTGAATCCCAAATTGTCCTAATGATAATGATAAACTCCCAGATGCTCTTATTTATTGTTCCTTTTGCTCTTTGCATCAAACTTTTCTATTTTCCGAGGGGTTCCACCAATATCAACTGTCAAATCTATCTAAACATGAACCTAAAAAGGTTTACAGGTTTCTAACAATAGACCATGTTAACATCTAGAGGTGGTCAAATTATTTGATTAACCGAACTTGGAAATTTTCAGCAGTACGGAAGCTTTATAATGGAAAGCATTATATTCTCTCATTGCCAAATAGAATACACAGTTGACACCAGAACACCTCGCAGGAATTTTATAGGGAAGAAAATGTTTATGACAGACATGATATATATTCTTTTCATATGCCAAATCTCCATAATTTATATGTGCTAAATCTTCCTGTAAGCATGGATAAATATTGTCTCTTGAGGAATACAGATAGTGTGTTAATCAGCTTGACACCTGGGAATTTCACTTTACATCTGCTTTGCTAGAGCACTATGGAAGAAAAACAGTTATTAAGAAAAAGAAGAAGCCTTTGATGACTCTTAAAGAAAACGATTATAGTTTAATTCTAGCTTCTGAAACAAGAAACTGCCGACTCTGTACCAAAAAAGAGAAAAAGAAAGTGCAAGCTGCATAACAGGTCTAATCTCTTTGGATTGCTTTTTATAAAATTTGAGGCATAAATTGCCAGAATTAATCATTGGCTTAAAGGTTTTTGAAGCCATAGCCAGAGCATTTGGACTGCAACATTAGTTTACAGCCTCAATTTCAGATAGTACTGATACCTTCTATCAGTCAATGAAGAATTGGGTGCTATTGTCATATAGATTTTAAACTGATCTTCTTCCTGTTTAGGGACAGAAGTTTTTAGTGAAATATAGCATATGCTACAATGATCAAAGGGTTTCCAAAGACTGAATCATGCCGCCCACTCTCTCCATTGGGGGTGTTTGTGCTAAGCCATCATTATGGCCCTGGATTTGACAACACTAAAAAAGGTTAGAACCTATAGTACATGTAAAATAATCCTCTAGCCTTGGAAACTGCTTTGACTGTTATTTGATTGGGAAATGTATTAGGTTTGGTTCTCCACGCTAGAAAAAATTATGTCTTTCCTTTTCAAAGCCATTTTCCAGGGTTGTTCCCTGTTCCTGCAAAGTTTCTTTCCCATTCAGGTATAAAACTTGACTAATTAATCAATAAAAGAAGAAAAGGGAAAAGAAATAAGTCCAGCCTAAAAAACCCAAGTCCATAGACAAAAGAAGTCAAATCTGTGTTAATTATAAAAATTTAATTAATTTGCCCTTGGTGCAGCATCTTATGGTATATATATATATATATATATATATATATATATATATATTCTCCATGATCATCGTGTAGTTGGCTCCAAACCATCATTTTTCTCTCAACTCCATCAATTACTTCACAACCAAGAAAAGAAAAATTAATGTGGATTTAAGGGCATTTTATGTTGGTAAATAATCCTCTCCATTGGATTTTTCCTTCTAATTATTCAAACTAGTTAATATAATTGTGATGGGCGGCATTTAGAGGGCATTTATGCCCAGCAAGTAAGATGCCATTTTTCCTTTTAACTACAAATTTAGACCAAATGTACATTATTAACTTTAATAAACCCCCATAACCCTTAAATCTACTGAGAGGAGAGAGCATATTCCAATGCAGCTTGCCTTTTGTGGTAACCAATCACCGGTCATTCTTTTGTAGTAAAGTAAGAAAACATTGCAAGTTGCACGACTGTCTGTGTGTTGATTTTGATAGAAATTGGTAAGATTATGATCTCTTCAAGTCTGGAAGCTCCACACAATAGTTTTTAAATCAACAAAACAAATGCACCAGTCAACACCAGTCTCATGGAATTCTAGACTTCATAATGAAGATACTCAGAATGATCTAACTAGCAGTTTTAGGAGGATTGCTCTTCCACCATTAAAGTTATGTTTTAAGGGAAAATTATGTAATGCACAGAACCTGCATATATAGCTAGTAGCTTTCAGTATTGGTTTCCAGAAATCTTGTATTCTCGCAGTTTATCTTTCTTTTTATAGGATTGCTGCTTCAACCAAGTTTGATAAGGATACTATTTGCACTACTATTCATTAAGTAACACTATTGGCATCCAATCCAGTCAAGGAGGGTAATTATGAATTGCTTGCTCTCTGCCCTTGCCAAGTTCTTTTGTCTTTTTTCTTTCAATTTTTATCAAGAAATAGATGCAACTTAACAGGCAAAGTTGCTTGACATGACCTTTATTATATATATTAATAATTAAACTTTCCAAGTGTTACTGATTACTGGCACTTCACATAAAAAATGAACTAAAAATCTCACCAGCGACCATATACACTATATATTACACAAAGATACAGTAAGTAAAACAGTTTCATTCTTCCATGGCTAATTAGCATCTCAGGTTAACAATTATAACGATTTATAATTAAGTTAACGAGATTTTCCCATCTCTGCTCTCGATCAAGTAAGTGAAAATTACAGAACCATAAGAACAAAAGCAGTTTGCCGTGGCAAATAAGCGATGGAGAATCTATGAATATATTTGGAAGAATTGACCACTCTTGGCCTGGGCCATGCGTGAATTCATCAACATGATTTGATAATATGCAAAAGATTCCAGGCTCAAAGATGATTGCAGCAGCAAGCAGGCATGGTACTGCTGTGTGCTTTAATTACCTTGAACCAATTAATTTTCTTGTTATTTCTATTCATTTTTTTTTTATATTTGTGCGACCAAAATAATGGCATAAAGCTCATTGTTTAATCTTTAAAAGTATATGTGCACTTCCTGAACAAAAGCATAATTGCATAAATAATTGCAGTGAGAGAACCATGAGTGGATCTTACTATAAGGTCAAAGATTCGGGGTCAAAGTAAAGAGTGGTATTATTATCATTGATCACCTTATTTTGTACCAGGATAGGTGAGAAATTATTGTTTCAATAAAAGGAATTTTTTTTTTTTTTACAATTAACTGATGCGATCTAAAAGGCCTCCTTTGCTATTTTCTAAGATACTAGACTATACATAATTAATGCTCCTCTGAAGGTTTTCCCCAACTATCAGAAGCAGCCATGGTGGTACTGGTACTGGGTTTGGCTGAAACTACTCATGAAACTTCCTCTTGCCACTGTTTCATCCTCCACCTCTTGCAGCGCCTACAAAAGAAGCCATTAAAGTGAGAAAAAGTTTACAATTTGCACATTGCATGCCCAAAATATATAAATATAGTTCAAAAAGTTTGTTTAGTGATAACTGCTGGGACTGGAACGATTACTAACCTGCATCGAACCTTGAGGAATGGAGTGTAGTACCCATAGGCCATCTTCGTCTTCATCTCTGGTTGAACATGCAGCCTTGGGAACCTCAACAGCTTCATCGTTGCGAGCGAATCTGCCACGTATACGAGGGCGGTTGTCGGCTAGTGTTTTACGGCATGCATACTTTTGCATCAACATAAAAGCCACACCGTGTTTAGAACACAAGCAACAAATGTAATAATCAATATATGTACCGAAAGAAACAAAATGTGCTATTAAAAGAGCAATTGCTCTGAATAACACTCTCTTTAGTTCATTGATCATTCGGGTAAACAAGGACCAAAAGGTTAACCAACCTTAATTGTTTTGTTGAAGTTCCTTTGGTTGCGCTTGGCTCTGTACTTTGAAATCCTCTCTTGTCTCTCTTCTGTACTGTAACGTCCCACTTTGAAGGGTGCTTCCTCCATGAACGAGTTCTCTATAACCGAAGGGGTTGAAATTGACCTTGGTTGGTATAAGCGTTTCTCAAATTCTAAAGCCAAAGGAATAAAACAAGATTCCATTAGATATAAAGGTCAAAAAAAAAGAGAAAAAAGAGACTGAGAACAGGGTTATAAAGAGATGAAACAGACCTCTAAATCTCCGGTACTGCATACCTTCCTCATTTGTCCGGCGAAAAAGCTGTTCTCAGGCATGCTAAATGATTGGCCTTGAAAGTTCTGAGACTCCATGAGAGAATCAAAAGGAGGTTGGAATGAAAAGCCAGGCTTTCCTTCAAAAGAACTGCTACTAAAGCTCCTTTGCAAGTACTTGTCTGCATTATCAGGACCTCTGTAAGCAGGATCGAAATCCACTTGACATTCTTCATTTTTAACTTCCAAATAATTCAAGCCGTTGAAATCTCCATACCCGTACTCTAAATTTGGACTAAATGAAAGAGACGGGAACTGGGTTGTCTGATAAAGGCTGAGGTTTTCAAGCTGGTCTGTTGGGGGAGAAGAAGGAAGCAAACCAGAAACCAATTGGTCTGGACAAGAGGATTCATCAAATGGGTTTTGTTGGTTCTGACTGTTGTTTAACAAAGCTTGAAAATTATAATCAGATGAGGAGTCATGGAAAGGAGAGAAAGGATGATCAAACAATAAGGGATAATCAGTTGTATCGGTGGAAACCATTTCCGGAATATAACGGTTGATGGAAGAGTCATTAGAAACAGAAAGATTACAAGACATTTGAAGCCAAACTGACTAACTCTTGACTCAATTGAACTAAAACAAAAAAAGGCAGTAAACAAGTAACACAAAAAACAGAGAACTGGGTTAATTTTTCTATTCGGCCGAGCAACGGCCAGAGAGCACAAGGTCACACAAGCTCAGGCCCTGAGTTTATTTTATTAATGGCTTTAACATTACATGGTAATACAAGACAAAGCTCTCGCCCTTCACCGTATATATATAGACGAGTCCACTCCTCCTCTGCCTTGTCCTTTGAAGTTCAACTATGCCCCTAGACAAATCGGATTTGACATTCGTTGCACTGGTCATTTTACCTTTGGCTCTTAATCTCCACAGCAGCCAAATCTTTTATAATTCTTATAAAAATTAAATGCCTGAATTCGGATTAATTTCTCGTAAAAATTTTCAACCCAATATGCAATGTATTATATTTATTTTTATTATTATTACCATTGATTAATTTAGAATATCAACTTATTCAATTTGGCACAACCATACCAGATGTACCAGTTGTGCTGGGCTATGTTAAGGATACTTAATTGGTTCCTGATAATTTTTGACAAGAACAATTGTTCTGAATGAAAGAACATTACACGTTTAAATAGTTTAAAATTTTCAATGTCATCCTGTAAAATAATAATTCATTATCTATTCTATCAAACTAAGATTATAAATGAAAGAACATAACGCATTACCAAGACTTGAGAAAGAAGGTTTGGCAAGCCATTTGTGGACTTAAGTTCTTAACCGACCAAGACTCAAAATTTATCCCTAAACTTGATTTTAATTTCTAATCACGCTTTTTATCATTCAGATCATCGCTTCCGTAATTTACATCCAACTTTTTTCATGCGAATCTTTTCGCCAAGTGAAATTGCTAGTCAAAGTCACTGTGGGAGGAAACAAACCTGATCCCTACTCTCCACCGAAGGAACTTGATCTTTCTCCTCCACCATTAAATTCAGATTCTTGAAAACTCCTACTCTCGTTAAAATAACATAAAATGTTAAAAGACTGTTGGATTGGGATGAACGGCTATGGGATTACTTTGCTGTTGTTCTCTTGAATCAACAAAACTTGGCATGCACTGTTTGAGAATTTATACTCTTCTTTAAACTCGTTATTCTCTAATCCTGCTTTAGGCTCCTGCTAATCAAATGATGAATTAGGGTTCCTTAATCCTTGATCCAGCACTCCATCGTATATATAAGGTATGATACTTTAAAACGTTTTTGAATTGTTTAAAATTTTTTGAATAAATTATTATTATTTTATTACATTTAATTAAGTTTTTATAATTTCATTTTGGATCAAATAAGCACTAATGGTTATCGGTTGATTAATTATAATTAATAAAAAATATTATTTGTTATTTTTTATGTCAAGTGTTACTAACATAGAGAGTAAAAATTCTACATGACCATATCATTATATCACAAGATCATCTACTATGATATGTTAATATACAATGTCAGCATTTTATAGTATAAAATGACAACTGACGATTTAATTAATATCAGGTAATCAACCATTAACAATAAAAGATTAATTTAATTTAAAATAAAAGTATAATATCTTAATTAAACGTAATAAAAAATAATAATTTATTTAAATTTTTTTTAAATAGTTTAAAACTTTTTCCAATTAAATTTTGAATTAGTTTGATTACTAATTATCCATTTTTTAAATTTGAAATTATATGAATTTTTATTTTTAGAAATTTTCATATAAGATGCACTAGAATCAATTTTTTTAAAACTTTTCATAAAAATAAAGAACAAACAAAAAATTTGAAGAGAATATGATTTTCTTTTAACATTATTGCGTATATTATTTATATCTTTTTCCATTAGGAGGGTAAGAGGTGGAGGGTAATATATTTATGGGTTGTGGCCTTCCAAAGGTTTTAAAATTATTTATTTATTTATTATATATATTTTTTGATGGTCCCTCAAAATTATTTTCATTTTTCCAACCGTTTGATGAAGTTGGAATTATTATAATCAACATGTTGCTAGTAAACCTAACATATAAATTATAACCCAATATACTAAACTTATCAAATATAAAAAATAAGAGTAAGTTTATTAACTTAAACTTACTAAGTTTCAGTTAAACTTAATAACCTAATATATTAATTAGTAATTGAAAAAGTATATAAAAAATAAAACAAGAACTTTCTCAATAAGTAATTATTTTGTGTAGCACATACAAAGTGAATAAAAAAACAATTCATTTGAATTGAAAAAATTATTTTCTCTTCATTCTTACAAGTAAAGAATAAAATAAATACATTTTATAATTTTATTTGATTATATATATATATGACATAACAATTATTGTTAATGTGTATTTTTTTATATATAATATTTTATAAATTTTTTTAAAATTTTTAAATAAATGAAAATTAAATTATATATAAAATTTTCTTTGATTGATTAAGTGTTTTCTTTTTTCTATTTGACCTCCTAAAAGGACTCGTTAACTCTGCCCGTGTGAACGATTAAGAAAGCAAATTGAAAGGAAAATGTGAGTCAAGTCGAATAAATGAAAGGAAGACTTTTGCGGGCCGTCCGTATACCAAAACAAAGCAACGCAACAATGTCAACTGTCCAGCCTTTTCCAACGACAAATCCAATATTTCCATTTTCTTTTCATTTTCTAATTAAAGGGATTCTCAGTATTCACTATTGGGAAAATAATACATACCGGTACTTATACGTTAAGATTTGTATTACACAGTAGTAATCTAGAAACAAAGGGAAAATAGTGGTTGGTAGCATTATCAATTAAAATTACCAAGGAAATTACCACTTTGGATTATATCCGATTCACGATTCACGCAGCCAGCTAGTGGAGTTAACTTAATATTCTGGTCGAAGTATTCTATAAGTCATAATTCCGCGCAATTCCCCTTTTTTTTCCATTTCCTTGGGCTTCTCTTTCTGCCTTCTAGATTCGAGTTTTTTTTTTTAATTTAATTTAATTTTTGAAAGGTCTTTTCCTAGATAACTGGTATTTAGAATCCTAAACGCAGGCCCCCTATTGGCCCATTCAACTTCCCAATTCCGTCAAAGCTTGTTCACTCCCTTCATTCTCTGTTTGTCATCGGGAAGGGTTTTTTGTTGTTCTTCGGTTGTTGAGATCTTCTCAGCCATGGCGTCGCAAGAGTACATGGACAAGATGCAAATCCGCCAGAACTATCGAAATCTCTGGCATAGCGATCTCATGAGCACCATCCAACGCGACCCTCCGTGTAATTCTTCTTCTTTTTCTTCTCTTTCCTCTGTTTCTATTTTTCTGAGTATATCTCTTTTTGTTTGTTGGACTGATCGACCATTTTTTTTATTTCCTTTTTGGTGTATGTTTCTGCAGATTGCTGCTTAGCTTTTTGGTGGTGAGCAATTCTGGATCTGTTCTTTTTATTGCTTTCTTTCTTTTTGTTTTTGTGTGCCGTAGATCTGACTGTCACTTTGTCTCCTAAATTGTGTATTTTTGAATTAGCTGCATTTAGGGTTCTTGTTAGTGATGTTTTTAGGGTTTGGAGAAGTAGAGGTCGCTGACTGGAGTGACCTAGGGTTGACTCTGTCTGATTTCATGTTTCTGTTTTAAATTGGATGATGAAATGCCTTTTCCAAGAACGCCTAATGTCGGTATGCACCTTGAGATTGATGGTATTTTGATATTTCTGATGTATGATTTTCCATTTAGCATTTAGTCGATAAAGCACATCTTTCACCCTGGAAAAATGCTCGTTTCTTCCCTGTGCTTTTACCTCTTTGCTAGGAAATGATGTACTCCTTCCCTCACTTTTCATATATTTTCTCAGTTATAAACATCTAATGATAGATTCTTTTACCTGTCCATTGTTGATTTTTCTTTTGTTCTTGTAGTGGGCCATGTGTATCCTACATGCTCCGGAAACGAGCGCTTTATAATGACATGTCAAGGTAATTGATGTATTTGATTTCTCTTTGAGCACAAGTCCATCATGTAATATCTTGGTTTAAAAATAGCCTCTCTTTTTTTTGTAGGTATACATGTTGTGCTGGTTATATGCCATGTAGTGGTAGGTGTGGAGAAAGCAAATGTCCTGAGTTTTGCCTTTGCACTGAGGTAGGAAGTTTGTCTATTTGGTCTGTATTGCTTCTTGTGTTACTTCAACTCATGCCTTAATTTATAAGCTTACTGGTTTGATTATCAACACCAGAACATCTATGGGGTGAGAGAGACTGGCTGGGTTTACCAAGAACAATAGGAATATTAGAGATGCACCGATATAGCTGTATATACAAACCATTTGCCTAAATGGAGTAATGGGAATTTAGGTT